GCTAAGTACGGCACACATTTGATGCCCAGACTCTGGAAGATGAAGGTTACCGCCTGCACCACACTGGTGTGTCGTGTGCTCAACGTGGGATCGCGCAAGATCCGCATCAGGGCAGCTATGGCCACCGCCGGGTAATACTCATCCAACGCGTTACCCATATTTACCAGCAGTTCTGCTGTGGAAATGTCCTGGCTTTCATCCACTTTTCCATCGGAGTAAGCTATCAGAACATTATCCTTTTGGCTATCAATTAAGCCCTTGTTCATCTTGTGCTTGTAGGGATCCATGGCCCCCAACAAGCCCAGCACACGGATCGTTTCCCTTCGAATGGAGCGACGCTGTTCCGTTTTGAGGAAGTTAATCAGGATATCGATGAGCACTGGGTACGTGTGATATGGGCTTACAACTCTGCCTGTTGCACTGATTAGCTGGCCCAGAGTCCACAGAGCCACTCCTCGCTTATCAGGACTGCCAGCATCCCCGAGCATTTCTAGTAAAATGGAGAGCAGGTCATCTGCCCACAGTTCCATTTCATCGGATCCTCCATTCACCTCTGCCAAGTCACCAATGGTGCGAAGCACATTCAGGATAACCCCCGGATTCGATTCTGGCTCATGCAATTTGGGCACTAAAGCCTTCAGGATCGGATTCATGTACGAGGATATCAGCCTGGGCGTGCTTATCACCAGATGGTCTAGCATCTTGGCACTCTGCTCTTTGTTCCTGCTCATCCCCGAGTACTTCAGGTCCGTGATCAACTCAATCATGGTGGTTCTCAACTTGGGCATCACGTAGGCTGGGTTCATGGAGGACAGTCTTCCAATGGTGACCATTGCCAGCTCGCGGATCTCAAAAATCTCGTCGTGCAGGGTAATGAACAACGAGTTCAAAGACTCTGGCTGAGCCAGCTTCGCATCAAAGGTCTCGTCCAGCGAGCGGAGGATACGTATCCGCACATTGCAGTCCATATCCGTGATGGCCACCATCAGAAGGCGCTCGATCACGTGGGAGACGGTGTCGCTGAGGGTTTTTGAGTTTTCCATGCTCTCCGACGATTGCACTGCCAGTTTGAGGAGTCGTGTGCAGGTCTGCACCGCCTCCAGACGAATCTCCTGCTGTTCGTGTATGATGAAGTAGTCGGCGCAACTAAAAACAGACGAAAATTTGTTAAAAAAAACATTTAATGAATCACATAGTCGAGGAAAGCTAAGCTTTCTGATTTGGTTTAGTTTATATGTTTCATTTTCACGAAATATATATACACGATCAAGGATCACTGTTTTTTTAATGATAAAACTATAATTGCTTACCGCTGCACAAAGTCTAACATGTTCTGTTCCTCAAAATTGAAGGTTCCCAATGTTTTAAGGGCCAACACTGTGGTGGCTCCGTCGGCATTCTGCATCATCAGCGATGCATCGATGGCGATCGGGGGCAGGACAGTATATGGAACGACGGCTGCCTTGTTCATCAGCACCTGCGAAAGGATTCCGATCAAGCCATCCGTAATTGCGGACTTTAGCTGGGGCACGTTCTCGGAAAGTTCTCTCAGGCAAACGGTCAGGGCAGGCGAGAGACCCGTGTAGAACATCTGCTCGAGGATATCCTTAACATCTTCGGCTATTTCCGACTTCACGGCATGCGCAAGGAGGGTAATGCAGGCAAAGACTGCCGGGTCCACTGGTACCTTCCGTTTGCTGGTTAAATCCTTGGCTGGCAGAGCTAGCTTCACGCTGCTCATAATCCCGGATAGATGAACCTCGATCGCACTTTGAACGGCCACAGCCATGTAACCGATAGTGATGTAGGCCACAGTACGATCCTTCTCCTTGCCACGCAGGATCTGCATTAAATGCGACACGCAGGTCTGCAGGTACTTTTCCACGAACACCTCGCGGTTGAAAGCGGCCAGTCGCGGCAGGATTTGCAGCAGAGCTTGCTGCACATAAGGTGACTTGGAGGATCGCTGCTCCAACACATTGTCGCAAATGGTGGTGTAGTGCTCCTGGAGAATCTCATGGGCGTAGGCGGACTCCAATACGTTGTTCTGCGGGAGGACGGGCATGTTAGTTAATGGTTAATTAAAGCGGACTAAAGTGTGTTTTAATTGTTAAACAATAAAAGTTGTTTACTAAATTATTTTAATAAATATAAAATGAATAGGTGTTACGTTTGGCAAACAAAAAGTCAAAATTAATGTATTTAATCTTCCAAAGAAATGAAAAAATTATTATAAATTTTATAAGCACCCTTTAAACAAAAACATAACGTGTTCCTTACTTGGGTAACACACTCTACAGCAACGACCCCCTTTCTTTTAACACACAAATATTAACTACAATTGGGTCAGATGATATTATTCCGTAAATCCACTATTGTTTTGTTACTACATGAAGGTTACTGAGTAAGCAAATAAATAAATTGAAATAACAAATACATTTGTGTGTGGGGATATTTGATCGTTAGACTCACGCTCGCGAACTTGGCCACACCGTTGTGTTGCTCGCCCTCGCCCAAGTGCGTCTGGGTGCTGCCGAGCTTGTCAATGAAGGGCACCTTAAGGCGCGGCACCAGGGTGTTCAGCTGGGAGCCCACTCCCGATGAGCTACTGGCCTCCAGGAATTTGTTGTGATGTGCCTTGGGGAAGAGCGTCTTTAGCGACGTGTACCGGCGCTCCCAGGTGGCATTTGCACAGCGGAAGAGCTCATTGAAGACGATTAGGCCGCCGTGAATGCGATCGTCTCGGGTCACGCCCTTCTGCTCCTTGCTAGCTGCGATATCGGCGTTAAAGCTGCTATTGGCCTCGTCATAGCAGATCCTGTACCACTGTGGTTCACTGGACTGTTTTGTGCTCTCTCGCTGGGCGGTGACTATTAAAGCAGCCCTCAAGGCCTCTCCTGCAGACTCCCGAATGGCAGGTTTGGGATCAAAGATGGCGTTAAAAATGACCTCAAAAAAGGTGAGGATGTGCTGATAAAAGTAAGTCGGCAAGGCTATTGCCAGCTCACGGAGAATAAATACGGCAGCGTGACGGCGGTACTGGAATAAAAAACAATAATTTTTTTTACAAGCTTTTCAACACTTGAATCATGTTTAATCTAGTTTTAAGGGATATCATCCCATTTAAATGTTAGTTGCATAAAAACTCAGTATTTAATAAACTCTTATATTAACCTTTTTAAAATTTTCTTTAAAGAAGGACTCCTGCCTTAGAACGGTTCAATTGGAAAAAAACATTGCTTTTTAATTATTATAGAATAGATATAGTCAGAAATCGAACTATGGTAAAAAGTGATCAAGATTATTTAACATTGCAAAGAAACAAAATTGGTAAGTTTTATAAATAGCTTACTGTACTGGCTTATTTGCTTCCTAAAGTCGCGGTGATAGATGGTTATAGTAATAATAATAGTGAAGTCTAATAACAATAAAGTTATGTTAATGTCTTGACTTGAAATTATCAGAATCGTCCGATTATACTAACATTATATAAATTGTTAAATTGTAAAAAAGGACTTTATGTCGGAGTATGTTTAGAAGCAACAAAGTTTTTTTTTAAATTCTTTCCCTATTCCTCCTATGGCAGCTAAGTAAGAATAGATATGTTTGACCGATCCGGCTTGTTCCGAAATATATATGTACTAGATGCCAAGAGGCTAGATTGCGTAGAAACAGACGGACATAGATATTCATTCGCCTGGTGATGCTCATCAAGAGTATATACTTTATAGGACTGCAAATGTCTCCTTATAATAAAAAAAAAAACAATTTGTTTAACCAATCATGTGGTTTTACCTCTTGTCTCTCGCCTCTCAGCACCTCGAAGGCCTTCTTGATGTCAAAGTCGAAGGAATCGGCTCCCTTGGAGGTCGGCATGTTGGCCAGCTTGACCAGGGAGCGGGCGGCAATCTCCATGACGGACACATCGTTGATCAGCAGCAGATCCCGCAGACGGTTCAGATAGGGCGAGATGCCCTTCCTGGCTGTCAGGCTGCCCTCGCAGTTGATCAGGCATTCTGAAAGTGGAAACATTAAATCCTCAAGTGAATCGCCGGTGTCCTGGAGACTCACTCATGGCCAGGGCACCACCCTTCTTCTCGTGGATGTCCGACGCATTCACCATGGTGAAGATGTGGTGGTCGAACACGTCAAAGAACTGTGCCAGCTCCTCCTGGGACATCTCGCGCAGCTCGGTCTTCACGTAGAAGAGCAGGTCCTGGGTGGCCTTGTTCTGCACATTCCGGTTGCGGGATTTGAGCCCGTTCACGAATTGCTGCACCACCGATGTCGTCGACATGGTTGGGCAGTTTTAATCGGTTAGTTAGAGGCTCTTTTCACTTGCATTTGGGAGGGGGAAAAGGTGGAGCAGGTGCATCTGCCTGCTGGGTTCGGACTTTAGAGGTTATCTTTTCGGTTGCCCTGGGGCGATACGCGCACTGTCTCACTGGCCAACCGAAAGGATCTTATGTGGTGGCACCGGTGCCAAAGGATCACACGCGAATGCAAGCCGTTTGCTTGGTTAAATTCCGGATAAATAGACTTTTTCTGGAAATAAAATTGCAGCCGCAGCCGATAAATGAGCGCACAGTGTGGTGTGACCGTTGGCGACAAACGCTATATTACCAGAACGAACTGCGTTCTTTTGCATATCGAATATAGACTAAAAATTAATTATGGTATTCCCCTTGCCCGTTATGTTGATGACTTTTTTAATGTTGATAGACCGTTTTTTCTGTCGTTCCAAGTTTAAAAAAATTGCAGATTATCAATTTATAAAGCCGACAACCTTGAACAATTGAGTATTCCATGAAAACGTTCAACAGGCCAAGAACCTTGAATTAATTATCCGTAATCAAAAACTGACAAAATATCGATCATAATTGGTGTTTTGCGGTATTTTTTAAGGGCTTGGACCTTATGGCATTGTTATAATACTGTATCGAACGGTAAAATATCTTGTCATGCGTGCTCAGAAATGAGCTTTGAAGAGTCCATCTCTAAGTACAATAAGGAGCCCTCGGCGATAACCGATAGATCAATACTAGAGTAAAATCAAAAAAAGCAAGAGAATTTTCGTAAGAGCTGGTGAAACAAATGTGAGCATATTTAATTTTAGGACATCCAAAAAAACAGTAATTACCGAACAAAACCAGCAGTAAGCAGAACTTAAAAAGCCCAAATAAAAAGAAAATGTGTAAAAAGCGAATGTGCTGGGGAAAATGTAAAGATTTCAGCTGGCCGTCCGTGGCATGCGTGAAAATTGTATTGGAAAATCGATGCTGGGCTGCGGGGGTGTGAAGTTTTTCACTGGGGGCTGCTGCTGCACAACAGCGCCACCTACGAATTTTCCTTCTCAGCGCACACGGAAAACCCGCTCGTGGGCATGAAAAATGTGTTTTTGTTTATAAAAAAAACGGTTACTTTTTCCATAGCCAACGAGCGTTTTGACCGTTACCGAAGCAGAAGAAGAAGAGAAGCAACCGCGACCATGTCCAACTTGAGGAAATTCAAAGACGAGGAGCGCGAGTCGGAGTACGGCCGTGTCTACGCGGTTTCGGGACCAGGTAAGCTACGTCCCCAGCGTCCTTCAATCGCTGACCCTCAAGATCTGGCTAATCTCTGTGCGTTCTGTTTCTAATGCGACTCTGCTGGTCCCCCGCCTCTCCCCTTGCTCTTTCTCCTGCTCCTCCACTTCTCGTTTCCCTTTCAGTGGTCACCGCGGAGGCCATGTCGGGATCAGCTATGTACGAGTTGGTCCGCGTGGGCTATTACGAGCTGGTGGGCGAGATCATCCGTCTGGAGGGTGATATGGCCACCATCCAGGTGTACGAGGAGACCTCCGGCGTCACCGTTGGCGATCCCGTCCTGCGCACAGGAAAGCCCTTATCCGTGGAGCTGGGACCCGGCATCATGGGCAGCATTTTCGACGGCATCCAACGTCCTTTGCGGGATATTGGTGTGATGACCAACTCCATCTACATACCCAAGGGTGTCAACACAACCGCTTTGTCCCGCTCCGAAATGTGGGAGTTCAATCCGCTGAACGTGCGAGTGGGCTCGCACATCACCGGAGGAGATCTGTACGGAGTGGTCCACGAGAACACCCTGGTAAAACAGCGCATGATTGTGGCGCCCAGGGCCAAGGGCACCGTGCGATACATTGCCCCTGCGGGTAACTACAACCTAGAGGACATTGTTCTGGAGACTGAGTTCGACGGCGAGATCACCAAGCACACCATGTTGCAGGTGTGGCCAGTGCGTCAGCCACGTCCCGTGACCGAGAAGCTGCCCGCCAACCATCCACTCTTCACCGGACAACGAGTTCTCGACTCGCTCTTCCCTTGCGTCCAGGGCGGCACCACTGCCATTCCCGGAGCCTTCGGTTGCGGCAAAACCGTCATCTCACAGGTGAGATACTAAATACCATAATAAGTAGATATTTAGCTAGTTAGGCACAGTTGACCTGAATAATAACATAAATAGTTTTTAAACCATTAAAAGGTAGTTTCATCAAATCTAAAACTTCAATCCTCTCCGAATCTTCCCCAGGCCCTCTCCAAGTACTCCAACTCCGATGTGATCATCTACGTGGGTTGCGGCGAGCGTGGAAATGAGATGTCTGAGGTACTGCGTGACTTCCCCGAACTGACCTGCGAAATCGACGGTGTGACCGAGTCCATTATGAAGCGTACTGCCCTGGTGGCCAACACCTCAAACATGCCAGTGGCTGCCCGTGAGGCCTCCATCTACACCGGTATCACTTTGTCCGAATACTTCCGCGACATGGGCTACAACGTGGCCATGATGGCCGACTCCACCTCCCGTTGGGCCGAGGCTCTGCGTGAAATTTCGGGTCGCCTGGCTGAGATGCCTGCCGATTCCGGCTACCCGGCTTATCTGGGCGCCCGTTTGGCCACCTTTTATGAGCGTGCCGGTCGCGTCAAGTGCCTGGGTAACCCCGAGCGCGAGGGCTCCGTGTCGATTGTGGGAGCTGTGTCGCCTCCTGGTGGTGACTTCTCCGATCCCGTGACCTCCGCCACTCTGGGAATCGTGCAGGTGTTCTGGGGTCTCGACAAGAAGCTGGCCCAGCGCAAGCACTTCCCCTCGATCAACTGGCTCATCTCCTACTCGAAGTACATGCGTGCCCTGGATGAATACTATGACAAGAACTTCCCCGAGTTCGTGCCGCTGCGTACCAAGGTCAAGGAGATCCTGCAGGAGGAGGAGGACCTCTCTGAGATCGTGCAGCTGGTGGGCAAGGCCTCACTGGCCGAGACCGACAAGGTGACCCTGGAGGTGGCCAAGCTGCTGAAGGACGACTTCCTACAGCAGAACTCCTACTCGCCGTACGATCGCGTGTGTCCCTTCTACAAGACGGTGGGCATGCTGAGGAACATCATGTCCTTCTATGAGACAGCCCGGCACGCCGTGGAGTCCACAGCCCAGTCGGACAACAAAATCACATGGAACACCATCAGGGAGTCGATGGGCGGAATTATGTATCAGCTATCTTCGATGAAGTTTAAGGTGAATATTACACATTTAGCTTCGTATGTGTTAATATTACTTCTTCTTTTTTAGGACCCCGTGAAAGACGGTGAGCAAAAGATTAAGGCGGACTACGACCAGCTGTACGAGGACTTGCAGCAGGCCTTCCGAAATCTGGAGGATTAAGCGGTGCCAGCCAAGAACAACATCGGGATTCCCTAGCAAGAGGAATGGAAAAGAAGCAAACCAAACGAAATAAGAAACCAAAGCTAGGTTATTATTCGAATTCCCCATTCAATCTAGTCATATTTACATAATGCATAATAAGATATTTGAATCCAAGTTTATTTATAAGTTAAACAAACAGTTTGGCCCGCTTCAGGTCTAGTCAGGTCAGAATCGAATCAACAGAAAATACACTGAACAAAAACACACGACGACGGCGAGTTAGGAAAGACGAACAATAATTAGTCGGTAGCGCAAATGAAACGCAGTTAAACCAGCCATATACATAAATACCATACATATACGACACATATGTATAACTATCTATGTTGATATATAATTATAATTCACAGCTATGTATTGTTAGTAAATTTTCATATAGTTATCGATTGTGTTCGTTCCCCTATTGTGTGAAACTAAACCAACTAAACGAATCTAAAGAGAGTTTGAAACTTTACGAAATTACAATATTATATATTCCTACATATTATAGACCTTTAAAGAATGCAATAACAACGTAGCCCCAAAAGCATGTAGCTCCACTACCAAAGAAGTATAGATATTTCAGTAACTTGTGTGTGTTGCAAATGGAGCTATGGAAATAAAATGTATTATGAATGTTACAAAAAGTGAGGGTGCTTTTTATTTTGCCTCATCTTGCCTTGTTTGTTTATGGAATTGAAAACACTTTTTTCAGATATGTCAAAATGTTTGGCTAAAACACAATTTTACTTTGAATTTGGAAGGGTTAGTTTTGGGGATTAAAAAACAAAAACGTAGATGCAATTTAAAGTTTTTCGAGTTCCTGACAGTTACATGCGTTACCCTATACCCAGTCTTTATCAAAGTTTTTTTCCAAGGTTCGAGACATTGCTAAACCATATTATGATATCGATAGCATCAATAAACATCGATTTTTGTTCCAGCTCTAGTTGACGTGTTGTTTTGTTAAATTTAGTAAATATTCAATTTGAATTGTGCTTTAATTAAAATAGATATGTCTCAGTTTGGCGGACCCAATGACTTCTACGGCTCCGCGCCATCGGCGGATGCCAGTTACAACTTTGATATGCCGGAATTTGGTCAGGAACTGTGAGTAAGGCCCGGGGACTTCAGTTTCCACCCACAATTGTTGCTCGACTTGCTTGCAGGAACTTCCAAACCTTCGACAACACACAGGCCTCGGTGCCGCCCAACTATGATGCGGCCTATGCCCAGCCACCTACCCAAGGATTAGGCGGGTTCTATGATCCCACGGCGTACACGGACACGAGTTACGGACAGGACAAGAGCGGGAAACAAGGTGCCACCGGAGGAGCCGGCAACGAGTTCGACGATGAGCCCCCACTTTTGGAGGGTAAGATTGACTTCTAAAAGGGGACAAATACCTCAAGCGCTAACATTATACCTGTCTATTTTTTTTGAGGAAATATTTCAATACCTTACAAGCAATAGCATATAAAAAGGGAATCTTAAAACTTTAAAGCAATTACCAATTTTATAAAAAATCTATACGGTTTTTCGTGAAGTGTGTTTTGAAAATGTATTATTTTCAAATAATCAAAGGAAGGGTTTTGGCAGTAGTAGCTTATTGATTTTGTGATTGTTTCAACGAAAAAAATTAGCCAATCCGAAATAATTAAAATTTTATTGATTTCAATAAACTGTATTTATTCAGTTAATAAAATTCTTTAATAAAAAAAATAAAGTTTGATCGAGTTTTCTGATATATTTGTCACTAGTAGTAGTAGTAGTAGTAGTACCTGCGATAGAATGTCCATCCGACTGCTTTAAAACTGGGAGACTTGTAAGCGTAAAAGTGGACATGCGGACGTACGGACAAAGCTAGATCTACTTGTCCGAAGACTTTGATCAATGTCGAAAATGGCCTTTACTGCATTGTATTATCTCAACTAAAATTAAATGAATTATATAAAGATAGCTAAAATGTGTGATGTAACTTAAATGATCCGTAAACTATGCCAATAATGCACTTTAGAAAGTGTTGAATTTGTTATTATTTAAAATACTTATTTATTTATGGTAACTTCTTTTAAAATTGTTTTATTACTGAGAAGTGATATTAATATATAAGTTTTCATAAATACATATGTAAGCGAAAGCGACGTAAGGATGGCTCGAAATGTTTTGATAGCTGTAGAAGACATAGTTAAAGTCATCGGTTATGATAATATTGGAAAGCTTGATTATTAGAGAATAGCTTAGCCAAGTAAAACTTTTTATACCTTCCAAAAAAGGAAATATTTGTATTTATAAAATTGATTTATTAAGTTTTTTTTTTAAATTTGATTGATTTGTATAATACCAATCTTAAGACCTGAAAAGTTTAAAGCTTTATTAAAATTAAATCACAACTTCGTTCAAATTTGTTTAAGCTGAAGAGCCGATTTTGATTGCATAGGATATATGTGTATACAGTTTTTTTATCCAACATTTAGTTAATTTATTCTGTTTTGGTATTATTTCCTAATTCATATAAGTAGTTTCAAATAATTAAAAACCTCTTTTTTATTTTGCAGAACTGGGCATCAATCCGAATCACATTTTTCAAAAGGTAAGAGAAAACCGCAGAACAAAGAAAGCTTTTATAATTTGCGTACTCCTCCTTTGGAGCTGGCCGGAGGTTGTAGGTGAAAGAGGAAGGACTTTCTTTTTTACCCCTCTGCACTTGAACGCATTTTAAACTAAAGATCTTGAGAGGAGCCGGGCAAATTGCATATTTTATGCGCCCGATTCCCGCCGGATGCCACAGACACACACCACAAAGGAGCCTCGAGATTTGAGTTGCCCACTTTGTTTGCCCGGACAATTACTCCGCGCGCGGCATAATTCCTGCTTTGCCTTTACGCATTTTCCCCGGACCCGTGCCTTTTCTAATTTGTGCAACGCAGCGGGTGGCTTTCCTTTTGGGCGGCCACTTTAGGCCGCGCTTTCCACCGCGGCCAACTCCTTTTTAATTGAAATTTAAATGTTTTTGCATTTCGCTTTTGTATTTATTGCAAGCTTCTCCTGCCGCAATAATTCTATTGTTTTTCGTTTTTTTTTCCAGTAATTTTTGCATTTTTTTTTGTGTGCTTTGTTGTCGCTGCACTTGCCGGTTTGTGTCGTTAATGAAGACATATTTTTTCATCGCATTCGCCGCGGGCCGGGCTGTAGTTGTTTTTAAATAAATAAAGCAACTTTTGTGTTTTTAATTAAAGTTTTTCCCTCACTTTTTTTTCCACTCCCGTTTGGTCCAGTTCGCTGTGTAACTTTCTGCATTTTTGTCCATTTTGTAAAAAATTTGCGTGCGCCTGATTCTCATTTCTTTCGCTCCGGCACGGAATTTATTACGCTTGTGTTAATTGAAAAATGAAAATGTTAATGTTAATGAGTCCGTGTGCCATCATAAAACTGAAATGAAATGAAATGAAATGCTAATTAAATTGTTCATCAGCTAGCTGGGGGAATTATGGTTAGATTTGTGTTTGACTTTGGGGAGGTTTGTTAATGTAATGAATCGGTGGCAAATGGCTTTGCCAACAATGGTATTTTCAAGGCTTATGTGCAGTGAAGGGAAGTAAACAGATAGTTGCCTCCTGGTATAAATTTATTTACATCTTTCTTCAGTAACTTCGGTCAATAAACACTACTAGGGCATATTACCCATATTACCTAATAGATACACAATTTATTTTGAAATTATACTTTAACGAAATGATTTTTAAAATTGTTTTGACATATTATATTTAAATATTTTTTAATGTTAAACCAAAAATTATATTTTTGTTGTATTTGAATTTTAAATTAGTTGGCCAGTTGACCTTAACATTTGATAGATATTAATTTACATTTTTATTTAATTTAACTCTTTAATGGCTTAATAAAAAGTTAAATTTTCTATTCTAAATTTATTCCAAAATGGATTTTTAATTGACTACGAGAATGCGAAACTTTTTCATAACTTTTCTAAATTAATGTGTACACAAAATTTGATCAACATTGACTTTGCAGCTCTTTTTCCAAATTTTATTTAATCAATTAAACTGTTGCGGGAACTGAAAAATTGTTAAAAAAAACTAATCTTTGTGTTACATTTTTGCGCACTATGTGTGGCTGCGTTTTTCCACTTCAATTTCATTTCAATCTCAATTAAAGTTGTGGAGGAAATTCCGAGCGTCTCTCTTTGGGTTTAGCCCACAAAGAGGCACTCGGAATTTCATCGACAATTTTTGGTGGGTCCTTGCTGGCAATAATATCAAATTTCATGGCCCTTGCTCTGGCCCACATTCGCATGCGTCAAATGCGTTGACAGCTTTTGGCCCACTTTCCCAAACCCCGGCTTACTCGCTCGCTTGCTAGCTGGCTGGCTGGTCAGCAATATCATTTATCATCAATTTCCATTTTTCAAATTTCTCTGCCACTGCACACAATACAAAAACAAGGGGAGAAACCAAAACGCATAGAGAACACAAATGTTTGGAAGCGGGAGTTGGGCTTCGTTTTATGACCGCTGTGCGAACAAATGAATTGTGTTGTGTAGTGTCCCGAGTCCGAAGTCCTGTGTCCGAATCCGTGTCGTGCCGCAGACTCCATGAGTGATGATGGCCTGTTGCCCCACAACCGACCTCCTCCCTGTGTAATCCTTCACTTGCTCTAATTTTAATCGTATTACTTTCGCGCTCTCTTTCGTTCCAGACGCTCGCCGTGCTGAATCCTTTTCGGGGCACCGACCAGCAAATCCTGCAGGACACGGACATGGCCGGCCCACTAGTCTTCTGCCTCACACTCGGCGGCTTCCTGCTACTGGTTTGTTATCCCGATTACCCCCACACCGCCCTTCTCCATTTACGGTTGAAATCAATTTTTTGTTATATTCAAATTTTTTCAATCCATTTTATTACAAATTAAAAAAAAGCTTTAATATTATTATTTGCATTTAATTAAGTAAAGTAATACAATCTTTAAGTGTGCACTTGTACATTTTCCTCATTTCAGATTTGAGCTAATTTGGTTTCAATTTTATTTTAAACTGATAACGTTGAGAAATCGGCCCTAATCTCAACGTTATGTTAACATTCTATTTTGTAATGAAATCAAATTACTCGAAAATACCAATTCGCTTTTCCAAGGTTGTGTTAATTTTGACAGAGACTATTGTCACACGAACATAGTTATGAGAAATGTAATGCAATTTAACTTAATTACAAAATTTAACATGACATTGAGAAATCGGACCTAATAATCGGTTTGAAATATCATACAAATTATCGCATATGATGAAAATGTACATTTAATACGTTAAAGAAATTATTTACAAATAGAATCTTCTTATTATAGTGTAATCCTTTACAATTAAAATTTTGTTTATCAGTAATATTGTAAGTCTTTAAAAATTGAATTGTAACTTATAGTTGTTTTGGACCGTAATCCAATTACCTGCTCGCGGATTAGCAGAGTACCACTAACCAAAACCCATCATTCTCTCCACAGAGCGGCAAGGTGACGTTCTCCTACATTTACGGAATCGGAGTGATGGGCTGCATCTTCTTCTACTGCCTGCTGTCCCTGATGGTCAGCCGGTCGCAGGTGACCTTCGGGGCGGTGGCCTCCGTGCTCGGCTATTGTC